TTTCTGATATTAGTATTTCGTTTTCACGCAACAAATATCTGAAAATTTCTGATAATCGCATTTCGTTTTATCTGAAAATTCCTAATAGTAGCATTTCGTTTCTCTGATATTTGGTTACATAGCCGAAAATTTCTGATGTTAACATTTCGTTTTCTAGGCATATTAGGATAACGATAGAAGTGGTCATATTCTCGGAAGCCGGATTTATTCTTTTCTGAAAATCGAATTCCATTCTATCTCGCAAATTTTTTTTGAAAACCGAAATCTTGCGAAGCCTGCCAGCATTTCGTTAGGCATATTAGGAGGTTGCCATATTCTCAGAAACTGGATTTAGTTCTTTTCTGAAAATCGCATCTCTACTCTATTTCGCAAAAAAGAAAAATTTCAGGATTGCATTTTTGTGAAAGCCGAAACTTTGCGGAACCTAGCCTAGATCTTCCTCATAGTACTCTTCTGACATGCCTCACTCATAACAGATCGACAGATATACAAAAAAAAAAAAAAGGAAGTAGTCCTCTTTTTTTATTTTTTTATTATTTTATCTGTTGATTAGGGCCGGGAGGAAAGTATTATTGGGTTGGTTACCTACCTGCGTTTTCCCTCCCACCCACCCCTTTTGCATGCATTTCCGGGTTGGTACAGTGCCACGTCAGCAGTGCCACATCAGCAACAGTGCCACATCAGCAGTGCCACGTCAGCAGTGCCACATCAGCAGTGCCACGTCAGTAGTGCCATGTCAGCAGTGCCACGTCAGCAGTGCCACGTCAGGAGTGCCACAGTGCCACGTCAGCAGTGCCCCACCACCATGACGGGCTCAGCTCTGGGCATGCCAGGCCAACTGGCCAATGAGTCCATTGCCGAGTACTGACAGCGGTTCCAGACTCAGCTCGCACTGATCGAGGCAGAGGAACATCGCTAGGTGGCAGCCGAGGCTGTCTGCCTACAGGCTGAAGCGGCGGCAACAGCTGAGAAGCAGCGGCTTCAGGCCGAAGCAGACACAGATACCCAGGCACGCCGCAAGGAAGCCCAGGATCTGCTACAGCGGCATGAAGCCACCAACATAGAAAAGCTCAAGTTTTGGCACTTTGAACCATCCGAGGAGCACGACGACGCGACACCGGAGGAGCAGCACAAGGAATTCATGGCCAAACTCGTGACTAGGTTGGTTTACACTTGTAACCACCTGCAGTCCGAGCTGGCAAACCTCCGTACGGAACCACAAGCACGAGGATGCATTATGGGCACTTGATTCCCGTATACAGGACTTGGAGCAAACTGCACCAAGACCGGAGGCTGGCAAGTCCAGCAGTGCACCCTCTGCCCGCCAACGGGAGGAACGAGTTGACCACGTAGTCGCAATGCTCGGCGACATCAGTACCTTCGCTGCACCAGCCACCATCAGCAACCAGCTGGACACCTTGAAGACCGAGGTTCAGCAACTGCAGCTGCCTAACAAGGATGGCAACACCACGCGGCATTACAAGATGCCGACATTCCAAATCGAGAAGTTCGATGATTATACGCATCAAGACCCGGTCCTCTGGTGGGAGGGCTTTACGACGCAACTTTGGATCCTGTTCGTCGCCAAGCACGCGTACATCGACGCACTGTTCCTCAACTCAAAGGGCGGATGCCAGATCTGGGTGAGCCACCTGGCAACCGTCCACGGCGTCGACATCGCAGATCTAAAAGATAAGATCTCTTGGGAAGAGCTAACACGACTATGGAATAAGCGGTTCATCGTGGACGACGCCCCGGCGCTCGCCATCAACCGCCTCTTCGCTATAACACAAGGCAACAGAACGACACGTGACTAGCTCACGGAATGGCAAAATATCGCGGCGACGCCGGATCTCGAATTGCCATTTTCGCACCTGCGCCGGGATTTCTACAACCGCTCATGTGCCGCCTTGAGCCTTGCACTTGGTGATCGCGAGCAATACGCGACCTTCGCCGAAATCATCGACAAGGCAAGGGAGATCATCAAGACCAATAGGGCGGCTGCACACGAGAAGTCGGCATGGCAGCCAACCTATGTGGAGAAAGGAAAATTTGGTCCGCGTCCGCAGCATGTCGCTGCAGTCCACACGGACAACATTGTGGAAGACGCGGCAGCCACCCAAGCATCACGTGAGGGAGATCAGGTGGCTGGTGTCCAGCCGCGAAGCAACAACAAGTCCCGAGGAAACGGGAAGGCGAAAACCGCATCGCCGGCCGAAAACGGACAGCCAGCACCATGGGTTAAGTTTCACATGAGCGAGGCGGAATACAAGTGGCACGGCCGCTACGGCTGCTGCTATTGGTGCAACAGCACCAAGCACAAGACCTCCCAATGCCCGGATCAAGGCAAGGAGGATGTTTGGCCTCGTATCAACTTGGGAAACTGAGTTCCGGATCACTTGCCGACGGTGTACAGGCTGCGCATACGCAATCTAAGTGCACGTGGCTCGACTGGTCTAGTGGTGGTACCAGCTGGGCGGCATAATCCTCGTACGTAGCACGAGAATCAATGACTAACGCATGCTCCCCGGTAGTGACATCGATTGCTAGCAAGGCAACCGGTTCCGGCGGAGTGAGGAGAGACGTCGCCTCTCTCCTTGCGCACACCATTGCACCAACGGCAATATCCATACCGTTGACGAAGGTCATATACTTCCTTGGTTATCTTGTATGTCGTCCATGGTTGCTGCCCAATTCCTGCTGATGTCGTCGCTTCTGTTGCCTTGTTCTTTCGAACTCTCTTGGGACGCTTCGGCGGGAGCGCTGCAAGAACTCCTCCATATCCCGAGGATGCTGCTGCAACGTGGAGATCGACTGTTTCTTCAGAAATCACGGCATTGTTATGTGTCGGTCATTGATAGCCCTGCTTAGCCACATAGTGCGGTTGGGACTGCTTCTCGTTAGCGGCCTTGTCGTCTGTTTGGATAACCAGGTTCGCGCGATCCATAATAGCCTGGAACGAGGCATAGTCGTACTCGTTGCCGAGTGCCGACCACAATCCTACGCACGATCGCGAGAAAAACTCGGATCGTTGGTTTGGAAAGCTCAAATCGAAGCCTGGCGTGGTTACTATCTTCTGCCACTTACTTGGCCAGTCTCGAGTTGGCATGCTTCCTTGTGAGCTGGTATACACCTCGTTCATGGCCGCCTTCACGACGTTGCAGACCATGAACCGAGTGAACCATAGTTGCTCGAACTCCTTCCACGTAATGTGCGTGTGGAGTTCGACGATGGTGCATTGCTTGGTTGCCGCCAGATGGTTCATCCATGCCTGTGCTCCTCCAATCAGTTGTAGGTAGAGCGCCTTCAACATGTCTTCAGCCGGGACAGTGCGGCAAGATGCTTCCGTGAGGAAACCTTGCCACCATGTCAAGGCGTCTGTCTTGTTGTAGTCGTCGATCATGTAGTTCTTAGTAGCAGCGCCCGGTCTTGTCTGCAGCTTGGTGATGTCCGTCTTGATGGCGGCCACCGTGCTGCTGATCGTGTCTGGACCAGTGAAAGCACCTAGGTCGCCGATGAGATTGACGACATGGTCGATGCGCCCGTTGAGTTGCTTCTTCGTGTCTGTCGTGCAGCCTGGCGTTGCTTGGGAAGGCCTTGCCTCCAGAGCAGCAATGCGGGCGTCCATCTGTTTCAGCTGGGAGTCCGCGATCTTAACGGCTGCTGCCAGCGTCTTCACGTTATGGGTGAGATCGTTCTGTAGCTGCTGTGTAGATCGGGAATGAAGTTCCCCCATTGTGTTGTTCCAGATGACGGCACGCATTGTGTTGAGTAGAATATCGGCCAGGTTTTGTCTCTCCTGTTGTACTGCCGTCGGCTCGGCGCCTGCTACGGGTACATAACGCATCCCGTTGAGTACCGCCGTCCACTGATCTTGTTGAGAGATCAGAAGCTCGGCACTATCGGCGTTGAGCTGGTCGGTCGCCAACTGCGCCGCCTCAGCTTGTTGCTGTGCGCGGGCTGCAGCTTCTGCTGCTAGCCATTGTTTGTCTGCTTCGGCAGCATCTTGCCGTTCCTTGGCAAGGGTTAGTGCGGCCGTATAGGTCTGCACTCTCTGAATGTAGTCCGCAATGGGCTCATTCGGCCCTTGAGCAGGACAGACCGGCAATGGTTCGGCATTGCTAGATGTCGACGTCTCGGATGACGTCCCGCTGTTTGGCGTGTTCGCCATCTGAGTGCTGGTCTGTGGCTGCTGTCGAAGTGCAGGTTGCTGTTGCTGTTGGCGATCTCCGATCCTCCTGCTGCGTCGTGGCTGCTGTTCGGTGGCTTGCCCTGCTGGCATCAGTGTACTGCTGCTGAAGGTTGGCCCGTCCGAATGGTCGCAGAACAGTGAGAGGGAGAGGGTGGGTACAGGGGTAGAACAGATCAGGCAATTCTCATACAGCCCCTGTCCCAATGATGGACTTAAGACACCTAATCAACCAGAAAAAGATAAACTTTCCCTGAAAACAACTCAAAAATTCGTAATAAGAAAATAATAACGAATTAATAATCAACAATGCATGGGTCCTGGGGACCAACTCACGCAGATGTGCATACATCAAACATCGTCTTCACACTCA